CCCCTCCGGGCGAGGAGGCAGCCCGTCCTGCTGGAGCAGCTCGCTGGGTCTGGAGCCAGCCGGCTCCGCGCGGTGCCCTGACCGGAGGCGGGATATTAATCATTGCCCAAGTCGCCCATTATGTTGCGGCGAGGCGCCCGCTGGGACTCAGCGGCCACCCAATCAGAGCGATCGCTCTAATTAATGGCATCTTAAAAAAATCTCCGGCCGTAGAAAACAGGCGCGCCCCGTCAAGGTTGGCCGTGCAGCCGCTCCGGGCGGGGAGGAGGTGCCGCTTCCCGCCGACCGGGGGAGCATCCTCGCCGCGGCTCCGGCGCTCGCCCAGGTCAGGTGAAAGACCTGGCAGCTGCGTTCACACGGGTTAAGCCTGATTTAACCTTGTTTGGGGTCTCCCCCTGCCCCCCCCTTCTTCTGTGTGTGTACGGCTTAGTGAATGGGGCAAATCCAGATTCTTTCATTCCTTAATGGTTCTGTCCAGGCAACTCAGAAAAGGAGGTAATTCAGCAGCCAAGTGAAGTGTGTGGCATGAAATCTCAACAACAAACAACCCACCTCCCCGCTCTTTAGATATATCAAGAATCTTTTTCAGCTGGTCTATGACCCTAATAAAGATTTGATTTGAAGCATCTTGTATATCATCAGGAACTTTTTACTAATGTTTAGTTGAAATCCCTTGTCTTGTAATTGGAGCCCTACAACTTCGATCGGTACACCATGGCTCTGGCAATATTTAAACATTTACAATTGCCTCAATCTTTATTTTCGTTTCTTTAGATGAAGCACACCCAACTCGCTCTTTCAGATTTTCCTCAGAGTGTTATAATATTGTTTGTTAACCTAATATGGGGCAAATAGAAGGGAAACCCATTGACCAACCAAAGCGTGCTGCTTTAAAAAAATAAATACATTCAACATTTATAATGCAGTAAGTGAAATTAAATCTAGCGTTGTGGAGCATACAGCCAACATTTTGACCATAAATGAGGACTGAGAAAAGGAAGATAGTGCAGTTGATAAATCCAGGCAAATGCAATTATGTATAAACACAGGTCTCCTTTCGGTCTGGGGAAAGACAGATTCTTGAATGTAGCAGCAATAGTAATACTAATAATACCCCAACATCTTCCTATCCCAGGTCCTTGGGAAGGACTCAATAGGTGGATAAAAATGCCAAATCCAGTC